GGGGGCAGAGCGGTCAGCCCGGGGCTGGCACTGCCCATCCCTCCGCTCAGCGCTGGCTCCGAACCTGCCCGGGGAGGAGAGAGGAGCAGAGCTCAGCCCGGCACCGCTCCTGCCTTCCCGCCCAGCAGCCAGGCACAAAGGGAGGAACTAAGCCTGTTAGAGGGGAAAAACCCTCTGAAGAGCCCCACTGTGCCCGGAGCTTGCGGATGAGTGCGGGGTCAGCCGTGGCTGGGGGGGCTGTCCCCGGTTTGGGAGGGCCAAGAGCAGCAGCAGCAGGGAAAAGGAGCTCAGGAGATGAGCAGTAGCTGGTCCCTGTTTAGGATCTGGGTGTTTAGGGTCTCCCCAGAGGCTGCAGCCCAGGCTGGCAGCAGCTCAGTCCCAGGTGGAGCTGAGGCCTCGGTGGGAGGCAGTGGGGGGCACTGGGGAGCTCCCCAGCGCCTGTGGAGGACAGCCCTGGGGTGATGATGGATGCTTGAGCGGCAGGGACGCATTTCTGAAGGTGGAAAACATCCTCTGCTGCTTCCACCTGAGGCACAACAGCCCCCAGACCCAGATGTCCCGGGAGGGACTGAGCCCAGCACCGCAGCACCCAGCCCTTGGTTCCTGTTGCCAACTCCCAGATGAGAACTTTCCTTTTAAGGACAGGATAATTGCAATTACCTTCACTCTCTTGCAAGAAAAACTACCCAAAATCTGCCTGTCCCCATCTGTCTCTGCATGCAGGGAGTCCTGGAGGCCATGGAGAAGAGGATGAACCTGCTGAATTTCCATGGCAACACCAGGGAATGGCTCCATCTGCGGAGAAATCTCCCCAAAAACCATCCCGAGATTTTGGGGAGGGGAAGCCCCTGCCAGGGAGAAGCTGCTGATGGGCACGGCCAGGGCACTGCCCAGCTCCTTCACCTTCAGCATTGCATTTCACAAGAAGAACCATAGCAAACTGTTGGTTTAAAAGCAGAAAAATGATCTTTAGCAATGGAGCCGGCACTGGGAAAGGAGCATGCAAAGATTGAAACCCCTCAGGACACCAGGCAGCCCTGAAGGGGAACAGGGGGCAGTGACCAGGGAAAAGGGGTACCCTGTTGCTCCAAACCCCAGCTGGGGGAAAAATGTTTAAAAGATACAAGAGGAAAAGATCCTCCAGGCAGAGCACAGCCCCCAAGCATGGGGCTGCTCAGTGAAGGAGAGACACCAGCCCCATGTCCCATGTTCAGGGAGGAGTTCATGCAGCTCCTGAGGATTCAGGGCTCCCAGGAATGTGGGTTTTGAATTGCCTGCACTTGGGGGAAGCTCATCACCCTTGGAATAGCCTGAAGAGCTCAGAAAAACCCGTGGAAGAGCCAGGGACACCTAAACAGCTGCCATGGCAGCCTGAGCCCATAGGGACCTGGGGTGGGACTGTGAGTTCAGGAGTTGGAACTCACATCCCTGAGTGGTTTTAGTGGCACTGCAGCAAGGAGGAGGAAGAATAGGGTTCCCAAACCCTCTTCTAGTCTGGGGCTGCCTCCACCATCCAAACAGTTTCCCTGAGAGATGGTGCCTGCTTCCAAACCTCTCCTTGATTTGCTTGGGATTAAAAGAGCTTTAGGAGATCAGCAATAAATCCAACCTCACGCTGCTCCCGGCACAAAAGGGAAGTGGTAACAGCTTGTGCAGCTCCTGCACTATGGTGGCCATGGGGATCTCTGAGGAGGGGACAGGGGCCTCATCCCCAGTACCTCTGGGATGTTCTGTGAGGCCACGGTTCATCCTCACACATGGAGGAGCAGGGCTATGGAACTATCCTCGGGAATGCCGCAGGATGGATGGCCCCAGCCCCAGCTTCACCCTCATCCTGTTCCCCTCCTCCCTGATGGGACCAGAGAGACCCAATCCCTTGGGAAGTGTCCCCAAAAGCCTGAGCTGTGCCCCACCAAGGGCACTGTACTCTCAGGGCGGGGGCCACTGTTTGACTTTCTCCCTCTCTGGCACGCGGGCGGCCGGGCTGGGTGGGACCTGTTTGCACTGAGAAGCCACTTCAGTTGGCCTTTTCCCCCTCTTTCCCTACCCCTTTTTGCATTTCCCTGGAAAAGGAGAGCTGGAGGAGCATGTGCACTGGCCCACAAGGC